CAAGGTTTTGTCGAATGATGATGATGATGACAAAACCTTGTCGAAACGTTGTACATTTGCTGTCATGTTAAACTTATATTAAAGTTTTTCTTCATTACCCATTTAAGCCGTCTCCAGCCATTATACTGAATTATTGTATTCAAATATCTCTCTGTAAGATAATCTCAAGTAAGTTGATTTTTCTAAGGAATTGATTAAAACAAATGAAACTATTTTAAATATAAGAGAACCACGTATAAAGCTTGTTTTGAATGTTTAGCTATAGTTTATTTGTGTTTATGACCTTAGACTTGTAACAATGACTCATGGTTGTCTGTAACAGGAGCTAAAGAAAACTCAGACACTTAAGTCCCAGGTGGACATGTACAAGAAACAAGTCCAAGAACTGCACAGTAGACTTGGTGAGGAGACAAGGAAGGCTGACAAAGCTGAGTTTGAAAACAGTAGAATCTCAGAAAAACTTTCATCTATCCAGAGAGAAAAAGAGGTATTTCTCCCCCCCCCTTATGTAACATGTGAAATTTGTAACATTTTGAATATTTGCTTTGAAAAAAGTTGCTTTTTTTTGCAAATGGTGAAAATCAGAGGTACTTATTACCCTTTCTATAATATACTGATATCTCTTATACTTGCATCAAACATAGATTGCTGATGATACAAAGACATTCTGCTGATCTTAGCCCTTAAGTTATATCATGCACTTTAATGGTGAAATGTAGAAATGATGCCTTAATCTTTTTTCAGCATTGAACATTTAAAAATCTAAAAAAAAATTAAGTGTTTTTCCAAAAGTCCTCAGGTGGTTCTTAGTATTTTCAGTTTTTCCCCATTATTTTGTATTTTGAAATTAAACTCCCTTACCTTTCAGTATCTGTTTAATCCTTACTCTGAAGTATAATAGAACCCAAGAGATTAGCACATTATCAGTATTATATCTTATAATTGTACTAGTGATAGAATGTTGATTTAAATAATTATGGTTTTGCACAATTTATTTATATTATTAGATAAAATAATTGTACTATTCAAGTATAATAACCTTAAATATTTATTATATTTGCATAATTCAATCACATTTGGAAAAGGGCTAAAAATAAATGTATCTGAAGTAAATGTAGATTTAAACTAAGGTAGCTTGCTAACTTGCCAAACCTAATCAGTGTTACTTAATCACAGAAAATTTTTTCTAAAGGTGTTCTTTAATTATTGAAGAATAACTTGGAGAATACTCAGTATAAAATATATAATTTTTTTTAAACTTTAAATGGAGAAAGTAAAGAATTTAATATGTTGAATTATACTTCATACAAAAATATACAAATTATTTCTCAGTTTACTTACTAAAAGAAAAGGAAAACTGTCTACTTCTAAAATGCACCTGTAAAAATGTCAGAAAGGAAAAATCTAGGTTTGAAAAGCAAATAAAAATTTTGTAAAGCGTGGTTGTGAAAATTTATTGTCTGTATGTACAATTGATTCAACTATTGTCATTAAAAAATCTGTAAAGCTTTGTATGTGGTAAGAATTTTTATGATTGTGTATGTACTTTTAATAGATATTCTAACCAAAATTAATTAATGAAGAGAATGGCATTGTTAGGGCTCAGTGAATGAGCCAACCTTGTGGCAAAGCAAGCTAGGCAGCTGCTTTGAGGCCTGAACTTGAAATTTGAAATCCAATAAAATATTCTGAGTTATGTGCCATGACCAATTGAAGAGAATATAATTTGATTATATATGCTCAAGTTAATATGATAAATTAGATAAGTGCATGATAGCCTAATAAGAAAGATACAAGTGGACTGGTACTTTTTTGTCAACCAGAAGAGGGACCCATGAGTTACTCTGCTTTTGGGTCTTGCAAACCTTAAGGACAGATCTTCTAATTGATAATTGTCAAATGCCCCTACCTGAGTTAATCATTCTCCTTGCCCAGTATTATTTTTGTATATTAATGACATTGTTGCTTGATGGTACTCTTAGTGAATCATGCAACTGTGTAATGGTTAATTTCAAGCCTTGAGAATAGCTGTAATTGGACCTAAAAAAAAAGATCACTATCTCCCATGTATCTAAGTTCCGTAAGCTTGATGCGCAAGTAATAGTAGTCTTCCATGTATCTAAGGTCCATAAACTTAATGTGCAAGTTGTAGTAGTCTTCCATGTGTCTAAGGTCCATAAGCTTAATGTGCAAGTTGTAGTAGTCTTCCATGTGTCTAAGGTCCATAAGCTTAATGTGCAAGTTGTAGTAGTCTTCCATGTGTCTAATGTTCATAAGCTTAATGTGCAAGTTGTAGTAGTCTTTCATGTATCTAAGGTCCATAAGCTTAATGTGCAAGTTGTAGTAGTCTTCCATGTGTCTAATGTCCATAAGCTTAATGTGCAAGTTGTAGTAGTCTTCCATGTATCTAAGGTTCATAAGCTTAATGTGCAAGTTGTAGTAGTCTTCCATGTATCTAAGGTCCATAAGCTTAATGTGCAAGTTGTAGTAGTCTTCCATGTATCTAAGGTCCATAGGCTTGATGTGCAAGTTGTAGTAATCTTCCATGTATTTAAGGTCCATAAGCTTGATGTGCAAAATGTAGTAGTCTTCCATTCACAGATAGCCCATGATGTTGCTTTGCACTTGAAAAAAAAAGTTTGTTTTTTGAAGTTGTTTTACAGTTATGTTTTATCTGTTTTGAACCTTATGGAAGGCCTATTAAGTAGTGTACTGCCTCAACAACATAACGTTTCATAATATTATAACGTAATTTACTTTTGAGTTTAAAGTATACTAAGAACTAATTAAGCAGCATATAAATGATTTTTGTTAGGTAAATCGTGATTAAGTATTAAAACTCAATTTACTGAAAATAATGTGTTTTTTTTATTTACTGTCATTAGAGGTTAGTGGCAGAAAGAGATTCAATGAAAGAAACAATAGAAGAACTTCGATGCATGCAGCTACAGAAAGGTAATGTTGTTTTAATAAAATAAAGATAATAATTATTTTTATTTTCCATCGTATCTTAATCGTGGGGGACTTTAAGGTTTACTCACAAATTGCCATAGATCATTGCTGGAGTAGGGTAAACATGTGAGTTATTGCTAAACTCAAGATTAGGTAAGTTAAAAATTCTAATTAAGCAACAAGGAAATGTTTTAATTCAAACTAAACAAGAGGAAAGCAACTTTCCAATGAATGCTTCTTTAATTATTACTCATCGTTTTTCTGGAAAAAAATAAGTGTAAATTTGAAAC